ATCATCAACGACGAAACGTGGAAGTGAGTGACCGGGGGGAGGTGGGAAGGAGGGAGAGGCGAGGAGGAGCGGAGGGTGGGAGGAGAGGGGAGGGTGGGCGGAAGGAAGCGAGGGAGGGTCAGACGGGGGTGATGCTTGGTTCTAAGAGCATCAATCAGGTCATCAATCATCAACGACGAACGGTGAAGTAGAGGCGGACGGGGGAGGGCGGGGGAGGGAGGGAGGGTGGGAGAGAAGAGGGGAGGGTGGACGGATGGAGGAGGGAGGGTAGAACGGGAGGTGATCTGCTTGGTTTCTAAAGCATCAATCAGGTCATCATGCATCAGCGACGACGTGAATGAGTGGACGGGGGGAGGGTGGAGCAGGAGGGAGAGGAGGAAAGAGGAAGGTGGAGGGAGTGTGCTAGTGTGTGTGTGTGTGTGTGTGTGTTCTTTTGTTGTGTGTGCTGCGTGCGCGTGTGTGTAGTGGCGTGTGTGTGTGTGTGTGTGTGCGTGCGGCGCGTGGTGTGGGTGTGTGTGTGTGCGTGCGCGTGTTGTGTGTGTGTGTGTGTGTGTGGCGTGGCGCGTGTGTTGTGTGGGTGTGTGTGTGTGTGACGGCGCGTTGTGGTGCTGGTGCTGTTGTGCGTGTGTGGCGTGCGCGTGTGTGGTGTGTGGGTGTGATGGTGTGTGTGTCTGTGTGTGTGTTGTTCGTGTGTGTGGGTGTGTGGGTGTGTGTGTGTGTGGGTGTGTGGGTGTGTGTGTGTGTGTGTGCGTGCGTGTGTGTGTGGGTGTGGGTGTGTGGGTGTGTGTGCGTGCGTGTGTGTGTGGGTGTGTGGGTGTGTGGGTGTGTGTGCATGTGTGTTCGTGCGTATGTGTGTGTCTTTCTTTCTTCCTGTCTCTCTGTCTATCTGTCTGTCCGTGTATCTGCGTGTCTGCATGTCTGTCTATCTGCATGCGAGCGTCAGTGCATCCATTTATTTATTTAGTGGAAAATCTTACTAAGAGGCAATTCGCGACCACCGGCGCCACCTACCTGACGATGACGGTGTTCTGCGTGTTGCCGTGGCGACAGACAATGATGCTGACCGTACTGACGCTCTCCATCACCGCGTACGAAGAGACGGCGAACTCAACGATGGCGTCGTTAGATTCGACGACCGGCAGCACCTTGGGAACGACGTCCGGACTGTCAGCGCCCTCTACCTCCTCCGGTTGGCCGGCGGCGTGCTTCTTTAGCAAGTCGTAAACCTGGGGGGGGGGGAATTTATTGATGTCATTATTGGTGCGATTTATTGATATTGATTATGGTTTGTTTTTTACCTTTTACTTCTTCTGTTTTTAGGAAGAAAAAAATGCATTTATAATGGTTGCATTGCCAAAAATGAACACAGCATTTATAAGGAATATCATCTACTATTCCAGACGATGTACAATGCACACATGCACGCACGCACACACATACACACACACACACGTACAACATCTTCAAAGTGTACCAGTCGTAAAAGCACGCGTGTCCACGTCGTTTGCAATGTTTGTTTAATTACTATTATTATTATTATTATTATTACCATTACTATTATCATTATTATTAATTAATTGACATCGTCATCATTACAACTAGTCGTACGTACGTCCTGCAGGCGTTCCTCCATCGTCGGCATGACGCGGCGACCGCCGGTGATGCTGCGGATCGCCGACACCCTGTACCATCCCGGGTCGTGATGCGTCGTCTCCTGAAGCCTTGCCGCTGCCAGCCTCGCAGCATCCTCCGCCGTGATGCCCGGAAACTGATTCAACTCCTGTGAAATGGAGAGAGAGCGCATGAGAGAGAGGGTGAGGGAGGAGGGAGGGGGAGAGAGAAAGATAGATAGATAGATAGATCGACAGAGAGAGGGAGAGAGAGAGAGAGAGAGAGAGAGAGAGAGAGAGAGAGAGAGAGAGAGAGAGAGAGAGAGAGAGAGAGAGAGAGAGAGAGAGAGAGAGAGAGAGAGAGAGAGAGAGAGAGAGAGAGAGAGAGAGAGAG